GAACGGAAAGAACATCGAAAGAGAACATCGGGTTTCCCCTAAAAGAAAGAACGGTCTCAACGAATCGACGTTCGGACCTCTAGAGGAGCGTGCGAATGAGTAGGTCGACGAGACGTCCTCCTGAAAGATTTCGCCAAGCCTTCAGTGCGGGAGAACAGCGGGGAAAAGAGTGTGGAGCTGAGAGCCAAGACTGTTTCCAACCACCGAGGTGTGCGAAAGAAGTTTCGTGTCAGACAAGTTGGTGATTCGTTTCTTCCGAGTGAATTCTTCACCCGCTGCTCCATTTGACACGTGCTCAAAGGATCACCCTATTTAACACTGGCTCCTCGTTCTTGCTAATTCAGTTTCTTTCCTTTCCTCGCTCGCTCGGTCCGTTCGACCGCTCCGCCACAGGCCTCGGCGCTAATAACCGTTATCCATCTGTTGAGGGACGATGATGGTGAACATTCTCCTTGCTGATGGAACGGGGAGACAGCTCAGGAAACTTTCTTCAATCTCCATCAGCGCTGTCCTTCTCCGAGATTCCGCGCGTCTGTCTATCGCCCGTTGGATGGATTCGCTGAGCGACGAATGAAAAGACCGCATGTCGACTCGCCCTTTCGTGCCGTCGCGTCGAGGGTCTTTGCCGGCGTTGATCGCTAGTCCCGGGATCGATGGCTCAATCGATTGGTCCTCTTGAGACTCTTCGTTCTGACGTAAGACGTAAGAGTCCTCATTGTTAATAGGCATCGTTTCAAGAATGCCTGGCAGTTCCGCGTGAAAGCTACGAAGTTTTCGACTAACGCACATGCGGAATCAGATCCCAACGCTATATGTAAAGCTGAGGAAAGGCAGAGCCTTCGCTCGTAAACGAGGCCTAAATATCCATTGCGGACCCGTAAAGAATTTTTATAGATGTAACCCTACTCCACATAGGTTCTCTCGATTCCCATATTGCACGGAGCGAACCCTCTTCCTCGTAAAAATGTCAGCTTCTATCAAGTCCACACTAGCAGGTGTAGACGTGATACCGAGTCTAAGTAAGGGAAGGTGTATCTTTAGTTATTTCATTTTATGGTTATTTGTGATACATACACTGATTTGTCCGCCCCAGCCATAAAACAGGAGATGCTTAAGCTCTTTCTCGAGACACGGGTGCTCCCGGACCGACTTTCGGACCCGCGACGCTGTTCTCACGCCTGGAAGCGAGGGCTCGGATGAGCCTCGCTGGAATTCACCGATGTCGGTCCCACGAGTGAAACTCGATGGTCGGGAGCTCGTGCTCGGATTTCGTGGATGTTCAGCTCCCGAATCGACGTGAATGAACTATGAATGAGCGCAGATGAGCGTAATGTCTCGGCCGTTATCAACAATATCGCATCCTGCGTTTAGCGAATTAACCGGACAGCGCATTAGCATTATACTCGAACGGGCTCGAAATTAGCTGGGGCAAAGCAGTTCCGCTGAAACTTTGCTTTTGCGCGGATGGAACGCTGCTCGTTCGAATTTGAAGCACTTTCCTCTCGACCACCTCGACCGAGAGAACTGTCACCCGCAACAGGCCAACCTCTAGTTGGCAAACAGCCACGTTTTCGACCAGGTGCAGTCGCTCGTCTTTCCTCCGTAACGCCTGCGGTCACTTCGTTACGATCAGCTTTATTGGCTTCGTTTGTAGCCTTCCCGAGGCTTTCGTGGAGCGCGGGACCGAACTCACCTGCCACGAGGAAGCGTCCTCCCAAACGCATGCGTCCGAGAGGGCACGATAGACGCGCGCTCGGTGCGGGAAATTCGCCCGCATTTATATTCTCGACGTTGCTCCCTCCACAATTCACCCGGAAGAAACGGAAATTCGAATTATTGAACTCAAGCCTGCCCGGAGAAGAATTGACCTGAGATTTTCGTCTCCGTAAAATCCATGTGGAGGATCCCCGAATTCAGCTGTTGACGACTTCACGCGTTTCCTGGAGCGTATTCTGTGGCCGAATGAAGGTCGTTTACCCCAAAGCATTCCATGCCCCATAAAACCCAATGTGGGCTCTCTCCTCCTTCTGATCCTAAATGTCATTGAGCCTCGAGCTCGCTCAGTTTCGTTGATGTCTGCGGATGGCTGGGAAGTTGTTTGTACTAAGTGTGCTCGCTGTTGTGAGAGATCGTGTAGGAGCCAGTCGTGGAGTCGTCGTGGCGGCGGTCGGTCGCGTAGTCGCTGATGTGGCGACGATTCTCATCACGTCGACTCGATTCGTTGCCGGCCCGCGTCGACAGTTATGACGCCGAATCGCTAAGCCTGCACACCGGTCGGGATGCAGTCTACCCGAACTCGAATGCCGGGAATCACCTTGTTCTAGTCTCCGAGGAAGGTTCCTTTCAAGACGAAATCGTGTAATTCTGATTTTCGTGAGAGATCATTCCATCGCTGACCTCCTCTGCTCCCCATTCCGATCGTCGGAAGATCACAAGACAAATCGACCGACCAGGGAAAATAGATATTGTGCAGTAAAAGCTGCCATGTTAGCAAGGTAGGGAAAAGCATCGGTCCCTCGGGGTTGTTGATGTTGTGGGCTCATAATTGGACTGCTGACACAGACCTCGCCAGCCATAGCGGCGAACACCCTATGGGGGAAAGGCCGGAGCATCGGCACGAGGAGTTTCTGCTGCTGCTGTGGAGGACAACGCAGGAAGCGAGCTGGTTACCAACAATAGCAGCGGAGCACCAATCTCCGTCAGCATGAATCGAATGAGGGACGATGCCTCGAGCTGTGCCAATTGACTCACTGCTCGCAGTGAATGCTCCGAGCTGATAGGTCTTGTTATGTTGTTATTAGATGGCATCACTTCCCCACTCAGAGAATGCTTCTGCGTTGTACCTTGGACCTGTTCCGCGCGGCTTGTAGGGCCTTCTTCGCTCGGGGCCGCGAGTTCGAAGAGTTCATGAAAATCCACCGAACACATTTTTCCCGGCCGCTCTCCTCTCCACACCGACCGCTGTCCCATGTAATTTCAAGTAGGTCGCAAGTCCCCGGAGATTCCCGGGAAATAACATGTTCGAGTCCATATATTCTTCTTTTCCTCTCCTGGTGGCGGCGGTGGCGGTTGTGTCTAAGAGAATAAAGACGATAGACTGGACGAAAAGCTGCAACGAGGACGTGGGGAAAGCTGCACGAAAAAGTCGCAATTCACGCTTGAAGACAGACTCCCGGAGAAAAGATTTCCTCCTCCGAAGTGGATCTCCTCTCGACGAGGCAGAAGAGAACCGCGGCTGCATCGAAGGCGCAGGAGGCCGACGAATCGACTGAGGACGATCAGAACGAATACAAGGATAGAGAGCTGCTGGTTGATCCTTTTTCGCTTCGGTGTCGCTCTAAGCAGGATATTATTTTCACTCTCGAATCCTTTTTGTTTTTTTCTCTCCCCTAGGCTGCCACCACCGCCGCCGCCGCCGCCGTCGATGTCGTTTTCCTCCGATATCACAAAGCCCCGACGTCCAACGTCGTCCAATCCCCCATAAACAAATACAGCCTTGATGGATAAAGTGCATGATTGCGAGACGAGGCTCTGGTGTGAACCGACGCGCCTGGCGGGGAACTCGCAATCGGACAGGCCCAGGAACAGACAACGGAGAAAACGACATCTTGGACATGGATCAAATCTGAGCGACCTTGGCCCCGATGGCGGCAGATACGCTTATCCAGCTCTCGCACCTATCGCCCGCGTTCGTCTGGGAACTTGACCCGGCCCGGGTCAACCGGGGGGATGCGTTTGGAAAGGCACAAGGTCGGCTCGCATCAAAACCGACGAGGAACCCCTTCCTGTTGAGAATTTCGGGAATTTACAGTCGTTGGGAATTTCCGAGATTTCCCCGGAATCGACTTCGTCCCCTCCTTTTCCCCCGATGCGGGACTCATACGTAGGAAGAATCGCCCAAGGGTTGAGACAAAACGGTCAGGCGTGGGCAAGCGTCAAAAATCGGCGTCGGAGAGCATTCGGCGGTCCCACATAAACAGTTCCCCGAAATGAGCTGATAGCCGCCGCACTCACTCCGTACGCTCCCGGCTCGAGTAGGGTAGCAAGTGAGGAGCAGCAGCGGCATTGCGGCGGCGGCGACGACGACGACGAATCGATCGCGGGTGAGATTTTTCTTCTTCTGCGGTGCTGCCCCCGGAGTCGATATCGGAGAACATCCAACTCGTCCGCGGACTGATTATACAATTAAGCTCGGCTTGTTCCCGCAAGACTCTCATTATCGCTTGCTGACTGTTGCATCGGAGATGTCGATTAGCATCTCGACCCACCGATCTCACAAAAACTTCGGTCACCGCCAGATCGCGTACCCACTGGGGAGGGGACGTCGGCTCCTCCGCCCGCCCGGTCGCCCATACTACAAGAAACACAACAACAACGACGTCGAGGACGGTGACAACGTCGCTTTGAGCCGTTGTTGCTGCATCGACAAAGGATATCATAGCAGGTGGATAGCAGATATGCGAACTGTTAACGCACCATTACTCCATACCCTTCCATCGATACATCCTCGGTTGCGCCAAAGGAATGCGTGATTCGGTTCTGCGAGGTTGCGCGGAAGCATTCTCGTGAACTTCGATGTATTCGGAATTCTTCGACGAACGCAAGCGGGATAGAACTGGAGTCAGGATCTCGGGGGATGAGAACGACCGAACCGATGCTGAAATCGGATTCGGGGGCAGCGGCGTATCGAAAAATCCCTCTCGCGAGAGAGGATGGGAGAGAGGGGGAAGGAGAGACAGGGAGAGAGGACTCACATCCAGAGGAGACGATCTCAGGTATCTGAACGCTTTGCGGAATGATCACTCGTTCGCGAAAAGGAAAGAGAACAAGGTGGAGTAGGAAAAATAGTAGGACTGTATTGTCTGTCTCCTGTCTCCTATGCACAAACTCTCACTAGTCGAAGATAAATGCCAAGGAACATTAAGGTTGTACAACATGGGACCAAACAACCGGACCCCCTCCGGTTTGAGCTCGCTATACGATTGAGACCCGCCCCGAAGCTAGTACATCGTGAGGTCGTCCTGGAAGTTCCGGGGATTGGCAGTATAATACATATTTTTCTGCATCGTCGGACACCGAGAATCCTTGCTCCGCTTGAAATCGATATTCGTGTAGACCACCCGGTTGTTGAGAGCTTGCAGCGGCCGCACGTTATTCCACAACGGCGCTTTCGGATTGTCTTGGTCACCCTGCATGAGTTTCCGGAGCAGATACAGCTGCTGTTTCGACACCTGCAACGCCTTGTTCATGACGATCCAGCGCACGCTCTCCACGCAGCCGGGTTGCGATAAGGATCCCGAGTATGTCATGTACTCCTCGGTCGAGGGCAGGAGTCGCTCGATTTCGAAATCCTCGAGTGGCGTCTCTTGATCTGAAGTCGAGAAGGCTGAGCTATACACTTTCTCTTTTCCCCCTCGGCATGCAGCAGCTACTGGAGTTCCTCCGGTGCGAGAGATAGAGATTTTTGACCGGGCTCCACCGGGGATTCCCAGAAGGTCTGAACTAGGATAAAGGAAAAGGAGCAAAATAATAAATAGAGCAAAGAGCGTACCTCTATAGGTGATTTTGTGGAGTTGAGAGGTAATATGCCGGAATTCAGAATGAGACGTGTTACCGAGTTGTAAAAGCACCGATATTGCGACGAGTCCGCTGCTCTCTCTCAGCTCTATGGCCTCGCTGAGATTTGAATGAAGCTCGGCGTTATAGCCCAGGAACTGGATCTGAAACACGGAAGAGAAAAAATCTCCGCGATGAACCCATTTTTCTCCTCGAACCGAACCATTGGCGGTCCGAAACGTTCCCCATTTCTCACCTCGGCGGGGAATCGCTTGCCAGCGATCGTGTGCTCCGAACCCAACTCGTCGTGATTGCCGTAGTGTATGTGGACTTCACTCAGGGTATACTGATATGCTAGCGGTCCTCCCGTGATGTTGATTTTCGGGCTGAGAGTGTCGTTGAGCTTCAATACGATGTCGTGCCCCGTATTGAGCAATGTGCCGCTGACCTGGACATAAAGGAGGGATCAAAGTGAACGAGAGATCGCGGGGTTCCTGTCGATCTCAGCGTTCGAGGGCTGTGAGATGGCAGATGCTCGTGGATGTGGACTTGCCTTCACCGGATTCATGATGAACGGTCTCAACTTGGGATCAAACAGAAGCTGCTGTGGATCGAGGTCGATGGGGGATTGAGCGCGGCCTCGGCTGCAGAGGTGCCAATCGGGATTCAGAAGGCCCCAGAAATCGGGGCCTGATATGCCGTCGTACGTCCACCATTGTTCCCAGTTGGCAGCGCAACCTGGATCGAGGGCGAAGCATGAGCAATTCTTAAGGGGGAACGATGCGCAAAAACAAGACCGATTCGAGAATTGGACCCCCCCGACCCCCACCAACCCCACTTGTACGCCCAAGATTCACGAGCATCGAACTCATGGCGGTCAGTGAGGAGCTCACGAGGTCCGACCAAGCCGAGGTCTGGCCCATCGTCAAGCGTTCTCGCTCCGAGCGAAAATTTAATAGTACTTGCTCCTTTTTTTTCTATGATAGAGGATTCTCCTACTGTCGAGGAATCGAAGCGATTGAATGGAGGAAGGGGAGGGGGGCGAAAATATCAGAGCGACGTCTTGAAGCGAGAAGTGGTATGAGCTTGTGGGGTTCAGTTTTAGGCTCGAATCCGATAGAGTCCTCAAGCTGCACCTGGGTCCTGCAGCGAGGTGGTGTCTCTCTAGACTGCTCCTACTGCCATTCACTGTACGCCCACTCCTGAGCGCCAACTCAACACACGAAGCCGCTATGTGTGTGCCTCTCCCAATGTCAAAGGGGCCCTCTGTCCCGCCAATATCTTTCCTGTGTGTACACTTATTCTCTCTATCCAGGAACTGCGGTAGAGAAAAACTCTCTAAACGCTCCCGTACAAAACTGTTAGTTCAACTCTACATGAGAGAGCCCCGACGAAGGAGTTGTCTTTCGTCAGGGGGAGGCGAACATTCGCCAACTCCGCGGTGGGATGTGTTGCTCGGAAGGAACAACATCGAAAAATTTGATACCAAAATCGCGAATACGGTGACGGCGCTCCGATGGATCCCGAATCCTGAGTCTCCCCGAGTCTATTTCCACCGAACTATCACACGAATTTCCCGAATAGAGGACTTCATTCGCCAACGGAGACTTTCAGCGCAAAAAACGCTCAACGTACGGGCGCATCTATCCTTCAATCAATCAATTCATCTCGCTATCTCATCCTCCATTTGGACTGCTATTCATCCGCCCTGTCGGCCATATACTGTGCAATATGTGCATTGCTCCATCCGACACGATATCAGAGCGTCATACGAAGAGAGCCTACACGGAATTTGGTTAGTCACGAAGGTGACAAATCCGAGAGTGCAGATCCAAAGCCATTTTCATTACAGGGGGCTCTAGCCTGGTGCGGTGCACATATCGCAGAGGGTTAGACGACTGACTGAGTTGGGTGCATGGGAAGGGAAAAGAGGATACAGTCGTATTTCTCCCTTCGAGGTGAACACTACCCGACCCCGAGGGACCCGTCTGGCAGACTGCGGCTGCCTCTGAATGCCGGGGGTCGGCTGGTTGGTTTGTTCGTTCCTCGCTTGCCCCTTGCTCTGCGGATGGATGGGTGGTAACTGGGACTTGGCTCAGATGTGGGCTCTTCAAATGCGTATTGAAAGCTCTCGTTTTTCGACCTTTTCCGAGGAACGGATCATTCGGAGACGACTTGGTGAAGAAGGAGCGCAGAGAATGCGAAGCTCTCTCCGAAGACACTTGTTGCTCTTGTCGTAAAAAACGCGCCTCGGAACTTTCCCGCGACTTTTGACAACCGTGGCCCCGAACCAAGGCCCCCCCAGAGCATGTGTTCACGCAGGAAAAGAACGCGGTTGCGGTCCCTGACGCAATTCATGTCCTGAGATTCGGTGCCGCCCGCGGAATTCCACGATCCGTTCATTTTCGCCGTTGGCTTCCTAAGTCCCACAGCGTCTTGCCACACAATGTGGACAATTACGATTGGACGCAGGGAATATTTTCCAAAAATCAATGAGTTGAACGCTGTCACTCGACTCCTTGTCATCCTGACGCAGGTCGGAATAATTCAAAATTCAAACTTACGGCCAAAACACAGAGTCACAAGCAGGACACGTATCCGCATGACCGTCAAAAACTCGCCGCGACGGTTCCGAGAACTTCAGGAACGAGTGACGTCGTCGCTCAGAGAAAGCGACTTCCCACTCAGGAAACGAACAAATGCGATGGAGATCGCGTGGCCTCCTTCTCGGCTCCTGGGCCCCTACTGAAGCGAGGACTCGACGTGATGCTCGCGGAGGAGGAGCTTCAGAGACCGCCCTCGCTTCCTCGGAAGGGACCACGTGGCCTCAGCAAGGCTGACTGAGCGACGAAGGACGAAGCTTCGAGTGAGGCTCTTTCAACGTACAGAGCCACGCAGCGGAAGGAACGAGCCCACGTCGCGCGCCGTAGTTCCACCCTTCTATCCTGATGAAACCAATTAAACTTGCTCCACTGGTTCAACACATCGAACAGCTCGATCTGCGATACGATTCTACGGGAACGAGGGCCCGATATGGAAACTAATTCGTGCGGAGAGTTTCGCGCAAAGACAACCGACCGAGCACTCCTCGCGCGTTCCGTAGGTTCCAGGCTCCTCGACCCCAACATGCGAGTCCTCAGGTGTATACTCGTCGTATCGGTGTGACCGTTGAATCACGTCTCCGTAATGCAGGAATCGATCGACGATAATCATGTTACAACCCATAGGCCACTAATTCGGAAGAGCTCTCCAGCGCTCGCCAGAGAGCTCCAGGACGAGTAGTTCGGAAGGACAAAAGGATATGAGCGACTCGTGCTGGTTTCACGGAATGTTTCATTTTCTTGGTCAACCGAGCGTCTCGAAGGGTCCCGCTCAAATCCCCCGTCTCCTTATTCTTGCTCTCGTCCTGGGAACTCTATTGCGACGCCCATAATGGTGCGGCAAATCTTCGAGGGCAGTCGGGCAAGTGGAGTGGTCGAGCGACCGACAAGCTCGCTTTCCCGTTTTAACGGTTCTGCGAAGTGAGGAGTCCGCTTTGCATTCTGATGGAAACACAGCCTGGCAAACTGAAGCAGCGAGTCCCGATCCCTACCGTGAACGGTCTTCCGCTGTCCAGAGAGTGGGAGTGAGATGATCTTTGAATGACTCCGACTCCTCATGCCAGCCTAAACGGAGCGGGATCTACCTTGGTTCTGAGTGTCCAGATCATGTTTAGTTTGTTGCGTTGTGTCGAAAACAAGAAATCATACGCAAAGATTCGGCAACTAATCCCGGAACCGAAAGAGTCGGCTGAGAATCGTTGCGATAGCAGAGAGTGAAACGAATGAGCGGACGAGAGCTCAGCGAACATTTGAGGCGACCGCACAACGCAGAGCAATGAACACGAAGTTTTGAAAATCGATGAGAATCGACTTCCGAGAGCCGGTCGGGAGATAACAAAACAGGAAATATTCAGACGGAACCAGCGTCATTTAGATATGACAACCAACCGCGCTCCAATACCCATCCGCTCAGTGGAGAATCTCGCGCTCAGTCCCATCCGGACATTCCTTTTTTTTCTAGAGCTGCGGCCGGGCTCCCGAGCTCGGAGCAACGGAATCCGAGAGAGTCTCGCATCAGGTCGGTCGTGAAGACCTTCGGAAGCTATGAGACCTCTCAACATGGATCTGATGGGCTCTGGGACGGACAGGAAAGGTCGCCGTTTGGGGCGAGATCGGTGCTTATCGCCACCGAGAGAGTCGCCGACCGGTCCGGTCGATCGGTCGGTCGGTCCCTTCTGGTCCGTCCAGCATCTGAGCCAACTGATTGTGGCAATTAGGCCGAGCGAATATGTGTCATCGGCTTTAACGTTGTCCCAACTTGGCCAGAGGGCAGGAGGGGACTATGATTTATTACCAGCTTGAGTTGATCAGATCCATAGCAGTTGGCGAGTCAGTCTCCCCGCTGCGGCGGGTGGTGACATAGTCACAATACAGGGCGTATACCCTTCAGCAACTATCGACCTCCACGGCTACGGATCGAATATTGGCAAAAGAGTTCACTTCACTGCCTCGACTTGAGCCTTCCCCGAACCGATGCACCGGCACCCATGCTCAATACCGACCATTTGCTTACTCGACACGCCACGGTCTACGCTTAGGCGAATCGCTCACAGCAGTTTAGTCTGATGTCCACGAAGAGGGAGGAGCGGTTCATCAAAATGAAATGGCGGCATTTCTCAGCAAGCGCGACATGCCTCCGCTTGATTTTGTGCGATCCCTCGAATTTGATGGGGACAGACGCAATTCGGAGATCAAGAGTGTTCCATGGGCTTGTCTTTTCCGCACCGAGCCGAAACCCCGTCCTACTCTTTGGTCCTCGGGGTGAAAGGTGTCGTCGCTGTGCAGCGGTGTTGTTTTACTGGATTGCGAACGCGTGCGCGAAAAGCGATGCTGCCCCTGCTCGTTCTTGTCCGACCACGACTCCGCCGCCGCCGTGTCGACGGTGATAATCAAATCATTTACCTTGCTCGTTGCGGGTGGTGGATTGCCGCTGTCCCCGCTTTCGCTGTTGTTGTCATTGTTGTGCTCGTTCTCATTGTTGTTGTTGTCAGTGGTCACGCAATTGTCATGTCGCGGATGACGTGGTCTCGTTGTTGACGGCTCTGATTGGAGCTCAGAGGGAGGCGTCTGTGCTTCATCAGCAGTCATTCAGCCCTCCGGACGGACGGACAGGCAGGCAGTCGTTTCGTCGGTCGCTCACTTAGTCCTGCGTAGGAATCCTCTTCGCCTATTCCGTCGCCTGATCATCGGACAACTTATTTGCTCGTCGGGTGGACGACTGCGAGGAAAAGCGGGAGATACTTCTGAATAGTAGTTTCGCATTCACTCGAAATTCGAATGGACACGGCTGCTGTGACTTTATTCAACAGTCCACGGAACGGGCGGAGGAACCGGCAGACAGGCACGCAGTCAGTCAGTCGGAGCTAGCGAGCCATTTCTCATTACTCCCCGTCTCGACACCGGTTCGGAGATTCGACTCGCTCTGTGGGGGAGTGTGATCACTGCGCTTAAATTGGACTCGTGCTCTTTTCCGATAGGGATTTACTCCTCGACCGAAGTTAATTATCGTATCAGTCAAACTGCGAAGCGACTTGTCAGGTGGTTCCGCGACTTCTTTGACTTCCTCCCGCGGTTGGGTGAGAGCCTCACTTCAGAGTGCTAAAGACTCCACTGTTCGGCCGGATGCGTCTCAAGACTTCGGTTCGGCGGAAAGACCGGAATACACACTTTTTTCCGGGCAAGAGACAGATTTTGATCTCTACTGAATCGATTCCGAGCAGGTCTGGGCGGGGAACCGGGGTTTCCCCTCAGCGCGAACGACGCCGACATCAGGGACTCCGGACACCGTCCTTCTGACAACAGATCCCTCCCTCCAATCGGCGTTGTTTTTGTTGTTGAATCGAGGGCTCTGTTTGTTCACTTAAGCGCCGTGCGTGATGTGACGATGCCTTCTGGGCGGAGGATCGACGACGCTCCAGCGTACAATGCAATCAATTTCGGGTGTTGACCGGATCAGTGCGGCTTGAAGAAATAGGATTACATCGGATTTCACTTGGAGTGATTGTCGTTGTCACCACCGCTCAGCCGTCCAAAATCGTCGCTGTTGAAGGTACGGCGACAGGAGAGAAGACGCCGACGGGACGTAGGCTGAGGAAAGAAGCGAAACGAGGCGAAGGATACGAAAAGGAGCGGAAAACCCCGACGTAATTTATTCCTGTAATCCTTCATAACGACGGATTCCGAGTGTCACCTCCTGTCTTCGGAACGGTGGCTTCCTATCCCATCTCTGTTGTGTTCCCCCTCTCCGTTTGCCCCGACCGAGCGGAGAAAGAAACCGCGGAGAGGAGATCTCTCAGGAGAACGGTTTTGACTTCTTCAAAGCTATTTTGCGTCTGGCGACAATTCCAAATGGAAAGAGGAAGAGTTGAGGGGAGGGGAAGCGAAACGAGAAGATCAGATGAAGACTTTGAAGAAAGATTCGAATAGCTCCTCTCAGGCACCTATCTAGTGGAACTCTCCGAGGTGAAGAAGTTATGCTAAATACATCGCCATGCGGGATGACTCGTTCTGAATAAACATCCACTGGAGACTCACAGACAGGAGCATGGCCACACATGCTCGGAGAAATTGGGACAAGTTTGAAAAACACTGATACATGGGGGCCGGATGAGAGAAATCCCGCGAGCATGCACCCTATAGATAGGCGGTCTACGAATGTTTTCCCTACACTCAGGGTGGGTGAGCTGGAGGGCGAAGAACAAGAGAACAAATCGTTCAGTTGCGGGATGCTCGGGGTCCACCGCTCGCCCCGAAATGCCATCCATACGAGAGCTCCGTCGGGCTTCACAGGGCTTGAGACGACGATGCGGGGCCAGGGTGAGGCTTGAGGTGGCTTTCGCCAACGAGCCGCCGCCCACAACAGACGGAAAAGAAAAAGAGAGAGTTCACAAAGAGACCCGGAGCTCTTTGTAAAAAAGCACTCGGCTTCGGTATTTAGCATTTTATTGAATCCAGAGAGAACCACCGTCAAGCTGTTTTCCCCTCACCGCAGCTCTTGACGCCGCAATGCACGCGGGATATTAGGCGCAGCAATTGAGCGAGCGTCCACGTTCCGCGCACGCATCCCGATCGGTGAGGAGGCTTTCGAAGAACCCCGTTGAGTTATCACTCCGAGAATGGTCACAGAAATTCCAAGCGTACCATTTAGACGACTGACGAGCTCTACTCGGTCGCGAGCGGGTGGCAGCCGCGAAAAAAAATCGGCGAACCTACAACTTGATGCCGAACTCCCGATGGTGATCACGGGTCGGGGAGAAAATCTTTTAGGAGAGTGCGACACCGGTTCCGATAGAGAACGGCGACGCAGTCACAAGTGTCGGCGGAAGAATGCCCGGACAGTGGCTTTCTCCAAAGGCCGAATCTTATGGCCCACTGAATCCGCCAGCTCTTATCGAAGGCCGCCACACAATATTTGTATGCAGCCGGTCCTCCCCCCGGCCCCAGAGTCTCTAACAGCTCGACTCGCGCTGCCTTCCGCGATACTCGGAGTCCGTCGGGAGACACCTAGTCTATTTATCGACTCAGGACATATGTACGTTTCAACGATTACGCGCTCGAGTGTTTTTTACGTAGCTCACCGCTGACTGAACGGGTGTTTATCAAGTCCATGTGTAAGCGAATGGCTCGGACCGGCGTTTCGCATGACGAATTCTCGTGCCACGGGATCGAGGTGGTGTCCTATCCGACCCGGACGCAGGATACGAACGATTCGACTCGGAGCGCGTCGGGGGCTAGTTTAGTTTTTCCCGGTTTTCACCAATCGAAACATCAGAGACCAACTTTGCACTCGGAGGGACGACGCACAACGAAGAGCGGGTCGAACGTGCGTCGAATCCTGGGGATGCGTTTGTCATGCAGCAAAGTGTTCGAATTAACAGCAATTTAGCCATGTGCTCAATAATTCACGGTGCTTTTTAGCGTAGATCGAGGATTGAAAGTGCTCCCATTCAGGATCTCGAGCGAAGCATGAGCGAGTTCCTCTTCACTTCAGACCCGACGACAGGTCCTCCAGACCCGACGACATCCCTCGCCCCGACCTCATGACGAGCGACTTGGAAATTCCCGCTGTTTTGATCCAGAACTCCGAAACGGTGCTGCTGAGCTCGTTCATAATGACGTGGCTGTCTGATCTTCCGTGATTTCCCCTTTTTCATTCGAGCAAGAAACTGCTGATGGGCGAAAGGAGCGACGGTGGTCGGGAAGCTTCACGGATCGAGTCTGGAAAAGGGAGAACATGAGAGTTGATGAGCGGGACTAAAATAGAGGGAGCTATCCATCACCGCGTGGCCCGCACGTGGTTCTCGACGGGGCCTGGACCCTCTCTCAAGGCGGAGGAACCCTTCCTCAAACGAAGCCACGGGCCCTCACATACAAGCCCCGGCAGCCGCCGAATGAGCTACACCGAGATGTTGACCATCGGCGTCGATACGTGACAGAAATGAATCGAAAACACCATGCGGACGAGTATTCGACGAGTTGGACCCTCCTGCGGGTGATGCTATGGATTTTTCTCCCCAGAAGTGAGTTTGTTTCCTCTGCCGAAACGACACTGCACTCAGGACGCATAATGAAAATCGCACTGCACTGTGGTATATGAATATTGACCAAAACATCGCGGATCTATTCCAATGAATTCTTGAGGGACGAGACGTCCCGCGGAGTGTTGCTCATTTTCCGAGCCTTCTCCGGATAGGAATGCTTTGACGGTTTTCGAACCCCTCACCATGACGGATCACAACCCCTCGAACAGGGCCGCAGTTCGCTCAGAATCACGAGCAAAGCACCGACCTTCTCGATTGAGCGTCAATGATGAACTCGATCCGATCGAGATGCGGGAATTAAAAAAAGACGGAGCGTTTTCACAAATGAGGCGTCTCATCTGTCGCTTGGTGTGCCTGACGACTGGAAGCGCTTATCGTGAGCAATCACTTTTGCCATGGAAAAAACATTCATACAGAAAAGCGGATCTCACTTCGACTGAGATCTCAATTCGAAAATGTTTCACTTATCCGATGAGGGAGCGACCCGACGCGCGCTGTGACGAGATCTCCCGTTCGCCTGACGGATGATCCGAACCCTTATCAAGACACTTCTCTACGGTGGGCGTTCAATCTAACACCTGGTTCCGAGTCGAGATTCTAGTCCCTAGTACAGCATATGCGTAGCTTCCCTGTTCCTCGATCCTATTTTCCGAAAGAATTTTTTCGATTTGCGATCCTTATTCAGCGTTCAACGTCCCCCTCCCTTGTCAGAACATCTCGCGCTGAGGACCAATGGATCGAGAATGGAGAGAGAAGCGTCCGCCGCAGGTCAGAGCTGTTTACTCGTACGTCTTGCCTCCTTGCTCGGAAACCTTCCCCCCGTAGCGGCGATGGTGTTCGATGGAGTCCCCCCTGGCGCACAAGGAGTTCTAGATCTTTGAGAAAATCGAGTCCGACGGCGCAGCGACCGAACACCAGAATGAGTCATATGGGATCCCCCAGTTTGGAGGGAAGGTATCGGCTAATGCCGGAGTCCTTTTCTTTGTTCTAGTGATCGCGGCAAGCTGGGAAGAATGGTGGACCTACAGCGGCATTTCGGGACCAGAGTTCTGGGGAGTCCTAAACCCGGAGTGGCATCTCTGCAGTCGTGGTCGCTCTCAGTCCCCAATAAACCTCTATCCAGAGCTCCTGCTCTTTAGTCCACACCTGAAGCCGTTCCGTCTAGAATCAGTGAAGGTTCGTAAATAAAGAATGGCTCTGCATGCGATTCATTCAAAAATGAAATTCGTGCGAGAAAGACGAAATTTCACCCGCCCAAAATCGTCCGACTAAACCCTTCGCGGCGGAGCGCGATAGAATTCCACTAAAGCTGAGTATGTGAAGACCATCCATATTGCAAGCCGTGCACTTGATTGGACACCATCGCGGTCACGTATTTTCAGTATTGGGCTCATAGAGAGCTTCAGGTGCGTCGGTCCACTATTACGCCTCCATGTTGTCTCCCAGCAAAGCACGGGGTGAATCAGCGCTCGCATTTTTCCCCTCATCGGAGGACGAATTTCAGAATTTAAATGTGTTCTGGAATTCCAGACTTCGATGAACCTCCGACGAATGATTCCTCGACGGCTAGGAATCTACTAGAATCGCACATTTTTCAAGAGTGTTCCGCTCAGACAGAATACAGAGCAGTGATTCATGGGACTGATGTGCGATCGATGACCGATTCTCCGCATGAGTAATGGACAGGGGGTCGTGCTTGATTTCAGCCTTGGACTCGCTTTCATATCCTGGTCCAGATTGGCCAACATGGAGGGTCGAATTCCGGTGACTAGAGCCTGCCTTGACCTCCATTCTGATTCTAGACTTCCGCAACGATGATAAATACCGGACACGACATCCTGCTTCAGTTGTCCGAATCGGCGTCAGTAAACTTGACGGGAGGGCCTCTGCAATACTCGTACGTGATTTCTCAAATCCGGATTCATCATGGTGACGATTCATCGCAAGGCTCCGAGCACTCCATCGGACGGCGGTTCTTCCCCGCCGAGGTAAACCTTTTCGATGATTTCCGTTGATAACTGACGCCCGGATGCTCTATCCACCCTTTTCGCGGGAGCATCTCGAAGGGTGCCGCCGCTGGACGTAAAAGATACCTGTCCAGATCGGAAATGACGAAAATTATTCTCATGCAATGTGAAACGGTTCTGAAGGATCGTCGATCTCTAGATCCAGTTGTTGGGTTTCAATTCGGACCTACACCGAAACTTCACTGAAGCTATGAACGCTAGGAGCAGCGAAGGACTCGTGGGCTTGTCTGTGATGCTCCGGATAGGCAACGTGTCCCACCCTGAGTTCAAAGCAATCAGCAGCCAACTGAGCAAAGTCGTCTATCGAGGTGAGTACCCTTGACTCAAGAATGGGTAGATAGCAGCCGAGATTAGTTCTCCCGGACGTCCCGGGCGTCCACTCCTCTCCTGCCGAAATAACGGGGTTAGGCTCAAGATCGATGATCACTCCATGGAGAAGCCTGCCCCATGGGGTAGGCTTCTATATACGTATAATTTCCACGAATATCCAAGGTCAGGGATTCTTCCAACTGATTCGTTAAAGCTGTTTTGGGTATTCCGAAATTCCGACGTGGGTTAGCCAACACAAACGGCATACCGTTCCACGCTCTTTATCGCCGCTCGGCGTCGCATGAAGGAATAGGATATATCTTCTTGCTATTTCATTAGTCCCGTATTCTCCATTCACTTCCGATAGAAGCGAGCACCCAACGTCGTTCAGAGAGGAAGAAGGCGCATCAATGACGATATTCGATGTCTCTTCAGACCAGAGGGCATCCATCGAGCGCATCGATGTCTCGCGGCTCTTTCCGAACACCAAGGAGTACATGACGTACTCTGGCTCGTTGACCCAACCCAGCTGCAACGAAGGAGTCCGCTGGATCGTGATAAATAAGGCGCTGCATATCTCCCGCCTCCAAATCTCCTCGCTGAGAAAATTGATGCAGGGCGATATTCTCAATCCCAAAGCCTCGCTTTCCAACAATTTCAGACCGCTTCAACCATTGAACAATAGAGTTGTTTATACGAACATTGATTTCCGCCATCAGAACGAGGTGAGCAGTGGAGCAAGTAGTCAGAAGAATCTTTAAATCGCCTTCGATCCGCGGAGCATCTAACCGAAGCGAATTCCAGAAGGAGAGATGTCCATCTATGCAGAGGAATATGCACTACAAAACTTCCCCTCTCCATCCGAACACAATGTACTGAAGACAATCAACTATAGAAGCATTCATTGTCACAAGTATCGGTGTCTGAGCTCACTGCCGAGCTCGACCGTGAATTCATAAATATTTTTCTATCCATATTATGGGTCTTCAGTGTCCTCCTTCGCACCGACACGACGTCGAGGCCTCGGAGATTATCCGATATTTATCTATCAAGCATATTCGCCACTCTCATCGGCTGCTCGGGAATCGTCGACTCGACACGGGATCATGGACCGGGAGAATATTCGTGTCGAGTAGCTAGGGGAAATTTAAGGTTTCAGATGAAGGTTCCGTCTCGGCGCGGAATGTGCTTTGATGGGAGCGGACGCGTGGTGTCGCGGATGACGGAAATGAATACGACAATGAAAACGAAGACCGAAACAGACCGGGATGAGCATTCCTGAGGGAAAGAGTTCGTTAGCTCTCATCAATCACAGCGAGAACCAGTCGAGGAGCAGCAATCAGCCGACAGTGTAAGAGGAGTCCATCCCCACGAAGAGCATCACAATTCCGAGAGCGCAAAATCTGCGACGCATAGCTCTCATTCCTCTCGCCTCAGCTAGGACTCCATTGCAACGGGCCCAAGTGCTGAAGAGGCACCTGGTTCTGGTACCTTCGAAAACGTCGCCGAAAGACACGTTTCTCGGATCGATAAGTCCGTGGAGTCGTAGGAGCCCGGAAGCCAGGCGAGGATTCTAGGTATTGAGATCAGGTTGATTTATCGAAATGGAAGCGCATTGGTAGGCAAGTAGCAGATTCGAACGTTTGCCGTGCCCCTCATGAAACATCGAATCTATTCGCGAGACGATATCTGATAGCTTACGGAGTTGCGAATAATGTATTCGCATTGATTGAGTCATCAATGAACGCTCGCGGAAGCGTCGGAACTCCCGAGATGTCGGCCTCCAGGTCGGCCAAACCTCAGTGGCTTGGTCACTTGTCCCTTGGTTCATTTACTGTGCGTTTCAGAGTAGATCCAGCTTACGATCCGGTAATGGAACGACGCTCGGCGTTTGACACCATTCGCAGTCTCTGGCAAATTTTCTCATGAGAGTACGGATAGGATAATTAGGATTATTCCTGACTACATATCGCCTATCAGGCTCGTGAAAAAGCCCGCGAGAATCGCGTAAGGGATAGTTCTGGAGAGAACCTATGGGGATCTGAGGAGCTCGACTGCAGACCCCATGAGGGAAGATTTTCGAGCGCTGGAGGCCTTGATGGCGGATGAGTATGCTTTTCAGAGAACCTCACTCTGTGGTTATTTCTGCGTGGTCAATATGTGTCTCACGCTACGGGATGGGCCGAGCTGTTCTCATATTGCAAAGTTATTTCGGACCGCGGCTTCGGCACCCTCCGCGATCGCCATTCTGAGCTTTGAATAGGTTTCATGTACCCACTCCTTCGAGGAGAGGAGAAAGTGATGTCGATCAATCGGGACGAGGAAATTTCCAACTCCGCATGAAGATTCCTCCTGAGTTCTCTCCTCACTTGCCGGAATTTCTGGGTCGATAGTGAGAAGGACGAGGCATTCGAGCTCGTTGAGTCTCTTCTCGGCCTCCCCGAAAAAAAATACACCGATCGAGATGTCGAACGCATCTGGACAAGTCAGCTGTAATATTTGAAATGTTCCGAAAGAGTTGCTCGGTCGAAACGTTTCCCCGCGGAACAAGAAGCATGAGAAGGCGCGCGCGGGCGCGTGAGAGGCTAGCGGGGACGAGGCATGGAGCCCCCGGATGAGGGTTCGGAGGGAGGGAGTTGCCGAGCTACCGAACAAGCCAGACGTCTGGGGTTCGAAGAGAGCAGCAAGACAGAAAAAGAGAACGTCAAAATGACAAATCTGTTTTAGACCACGGCCAGTCAAGCACACACTCATACATCAATTTTCCTCAGGACGAACCTTAACTTTCGAGGAAAAACCGCAGCCCAACGACCGCCAGACCAAACATATTTTAAAATCTCGTTCCCGATCCCCAGAAGCAGGGAAAAATATTTCAAAACCGATAAAACACCGAGGTGACACAATGACAGCGAGCTCGGAAAATCATCCATCCGTCTTGCCCTACAAAGGCGGAAATCGAGTATAACTCTTCTCTTTTTCTCTTCCTGCAGATAAGAATCTTCATTTTTTATTTTTTTCCCGAATTACACACTCTCTCTACGTCACCCTCCCGGCCATTGAGCCGACTCCTTGGCGTTTTAGAGACGTGGTAAGGACAGTCCTATGTAAATTAGCCGGCAAGATACATAAATCAGACCGGTACCGAAGGAGAGCTCGTTATTGGCAAGCTTGAGATCTTGCTCGGATCCGATTGATGAGGGTTTCATAAAGTGAAATGGGTCGGCAAATTCGATGGCCTTCGCCCCGCGATCGTCCCGCCATCCTTACAATCGTTTTCAAACTGTGCGCCTGAACCGGATCCTCCCCCGATCGCGTTTCCGTGCCTGCGAACGACGCTCTCAGCTCGATTCTGATACCCGTAAGTGATTCGCGCTCGAGCAAGCTTCGCCCTCAATCATCTCGAATCGCTCTAATCACAAGCTTCGTGTTAAGTTTTTGGGAGTCGATGGGCACCCGACGATCATCAACGACGGAGATTCCGTTCGGGGTCATCGTGAGACCGCCGAATCTCACCATAAGAGCAGACAGCGAAACAACTCGCGCTCACGGTCAATAATAAGCAACGATTCATTATTCATTACGAATCTGGAGGTGCGATGATTTATAACGATTTCGAAAGTACAAGACTTCGCATGCAGACTCTAGCATGAATATCTCGATGAAAAACTAGGATGGAAAGAGCTCAGTGGGCTAGGCGGCCGTGGGTCGAATCCAGCAGGACTCCGAAGAGCCCCGCGAGAGGTTCGATGATTGGCTCCCTATCCTGCTGCATGTATGTCGGGCTTGAGGCTCATCCTGACGCTGAGATGCAACCATCTGAAGTGGCAACAGCGATCTATCGCCGACTCCTTGATGTCGGCGGAGCGGACGATTTGGAGCGAGCTGGACTACTGAAGGGTTCGCGTCAGCCAAGCGAGATGGAATGCGCCATCTTCCCGCTCGGCCGAGATTATCCAATAATTATTGTAGCTGCATGAGGGCGCTTAACTCCCGAGTCGGCTCCTCGAAGACGTCATCGAATCAGTTTTCGCGAATACTGCTGATTTTCGATGACGCAAGAGAGTTCTGGTCATCATCAGCATGTGGAGCGAGTTATTCTCTAAATTGAGAGAGAATGATTATTATCGACGCTCCTATTTCCCTCTGCTACGCCGGCGTCCGATCTCCCTCCTTCTCTCGATCGGGGATCGTCTCCCGGTCCGAATCGAAGAAGGGATTCCGAAGACTCGATCAAGAGCGTCTTTGGAGAATCTCTCGCGGGATCTGCCGCCGAAGCTTCGGAGGAGATTTCGTCGATCGTCGCGCAAAGCGCCCTCTTCCCTAAATACTCGACGGTCAACCGAGCGGACATCGCGATGAGCTTGTATGAGCCTAATGATGAGATATCAGGGAATTCGGAGGGCGCTCCGATCTCTCTCCGTCTGCCAGCCTTAGACTGAGTCCGCCAGCGTTGCGGAATGCCAAGGAGAGCTAAGGAATTCTCCTTTCTTCGCAGCTGACTAAATCCGGGTCGAATAAACGTGCCGCGAAATCAAGATTCTTGTGTCTGTCGACCGAGGGGAACTGGATCAAATCCCAGAGTGTTCTCTGCTCAGACATGAAAACGACTCCATTTAGTGTTTTAGACTGCCACAAGGAATACCGTTTTCGCTTACGCGCAGGAATAGTCGAAAAGTATATTCATTCTGCCTCCATTCAGAGGGCTTACTATCATTTGCGTCAAAGCAGAATGGTTGCGCCGACGGACTATCACAAAAACATTCGTACAGTCTCCACATCGGACACCCGCTCGTTATCTTCACGGTCGGCTGGGGAGACCGGAGGAGCGAACTCACGATCACCCGGACCGAGCTGTCGAGTTTTTTTTCCTGTGAACGCAGCGATGAGGGAGGATGATGAGTTACCCGCTTGATCAGCGATGTCGGTCAGCAGACATTTGGAATTGCTGTCCGCTACAGTCGGTAGGGAAACAGGGCAGGGGAAGATCCCAAGATTACAGCGTTTAAGACCACGAGAGTCACAGACTTCACGCGAAAGGAGTCGGAGTTTCAGGATCGCGACTCTAGCTTCTGGGAAGCCTCTGAGGCTGTTTTGAAGATTTTCCTACCATGGTCGTATTGCCCCTACTCCACTATCGCTCCGGGTGAAGCGAACGATGAGTGGAAGCGCTTGTTCCACGCGCCGACTGACGCACCGGGAACCCCCGACACGTTCGGCTGATGCTTGTGTAGCACGACCGAACAAGCTCAATTTGTCACACAATAGAAAGCCATCAATTATGCCGCAACCAGATCGGATTGAATCGGTGTCACAGCGGATGTTGAAATCATTAGCTTTGTTTGGCGTCTCCACTGCGTCATGAGCTTCGTGGTGTAGAGAAAGGGGGGTGGCTGGGAATATTCCCTCTCAAAACATCAAAGCTGACCACCCATTGTCTCAGTCAGCTGCCCAGAGCAGAAAGCTTCACAGCAGGGAAATTAACATCGGTGTTTGTGGCTTCAGAGGATTATACGGGAACGGGTTCACTGGCATGAGGGATCCGCAACGCGAGAGCGGTTCGGAAAATCGGCTCTCACGGATTCCTTACTGGTGGGTTTTCCCTTTCCGTGACCATTTCCCCAATCTACAGATCTGCGGAGAAGCAGCGTTGAGAGGATAAAAATATTTGATTCTCCATAGGAGAAAAGAGTCGATGTTCTCTAGAACTCACAAGTAAACATTCTTTTTTGAAAATGACAATCGCCTGGTTTGACATGCTTTTCTGAAAGTTTCCGAGCCCCGGAGCAACCCCGAGTCGTTTTTCCCTGCTGTCCTGCATTTCATACCCCTTTCTTGCAGGCTCCGAAACCCGGAAAAAACACAATTTACATTGAAATCCG